TTTTAAGCTAAGTTTTGAATAATTATCTCAAACCAAAGAAAGAAATTGTTTTTAAAATATATGAGCTAAGTATATTTTTGTGATTAGTATTGAGCACTAATATGGGGATGCGAGTTCATATTAACTCAACTTCTCATAAACCAATTAGTCGTCATGTGTATTAATGGTACCTACTTTTTATATGATCACATAAATTAAGCTAGTGGATCCACTTAGTGAGTTAACTTCCTATACCCCCTGGTAAGGTATAGGATAGTCCTTGAAAGCATAAGGTAAAATGATGTATCATCACTATAGCTCTTAAGTGATGATTTTCTGTTAGTGAAACTCCCAACCAGTAATTTCATGGTTTCTCAAGGGGTTCTGCTTAGTATGAATGGGGGTATGAGACTTCATTCATACATTACACAAGTAGACTTTGACAGAGAGCACATGGTATGTCTTTTATGATGTTATGATCATGAGTTGTCATCATGTTTTAAACAACTTTCCTTTTCTTTATATGACATTTGTTTTAAATTGCTTTATAATGAAAAAGTTTCAGTCAAGTATTCATAGTTGAGAAGAGTGAAGGTAAGTGTTTCTTTCAGAATATTTTCAAGCCTATGTTGTATTTAACATTCCAACTCGTATACTCATACATACAGTGTACTAACGCTAGTTGGTTTGCATTATATTATGATGCAGACACATGTAACTAGGATCCAGTAAGTAGTTCATAGTCTGTTGCTAAGCCTCTTTGCTTTCCGGAGGATCCACTTTTATTGCTTTCAGTATCAGTTGTAGTTTATTAGGATGTTGTAGGATTTGTCCCAATATTCATCTTAGTTATTAAAGACTTCATAGATAGTCAGTTAGAAGTCTGTTGTCTTTACATTGTCATTTAATATGTACTAAGACTTGAAGTTTCCATTTGGCTATGTTAAATGTTTATTTTTTTAAAGAAAAAAAATATTCTACGTCATCTTTTAAACAGTTGAGTAAGTGCATATTATTCTTTGTATTAATTCTTTGAGTCTTCCGCTGAGTTAAGTAAGCCAGACCAAGGGTTCTCTTGGGGCCAACAATGGTTCTCAAGTACCGGCCACGTCCAAGATGTAGGCTTTGGGCGTGACAGTCTTGTCTCGACTTCCATCATTATTAGTTAGAAGCTTCATATACAATCTGTATAGTTGAGAAGTTTATATTATTCATGTATTTTATGAAATATTTTAAAGAGTTAAGTTGCCTATTTTATGCCTAGTTGAATATAAATTATTTTTATTCAGAATTTTTGATTTGAGTTAAAGTTTTGTATTTCAGTTTTATGAATTTTATTACTTTTTAAGCTTTTGCTTAAGTTAGTCTTTCGTTTGCAGTCAGCCAGGATGATGGTTCTGTTGTGTTTTATTTGTCCTGATTTCTTACCATAAATAGGTTTTCCTTTTAGGAAAATGTTTTGGATTGACTAATCCTTTTTCTGGTAGGGAAAGGTTTAGGACTCTATAAATAGAGGAATATTCCTTCTAACTTAATCAGCATTCACAATGTAGTCTTAAGGGCTTTGAGAGTTTTGGTTAGGGGGAGAATTTATGGTTCACAAGCTTCATACGTTATCACTTGTGTGAACCTCCCATGTATTCCGAGTAAATTGGTTGAGGTTGTTTCCCTCTGTATTTTGTACTCTCATATTTATAGTGGATTGCTCATCTCCTTTGTGGACGTAGGTCGACTGACCGAACCACGTTAAATCTTTGAGTCTTTTGGTATATTTCTCGTTGTCTTCTTACTCGTGGGCTTTCGAGGTTTGCTTTGCTAGCTTCCGCATTTACACATGCTTATTTACGGTCCTAACAAGTGGTATCAGAGCCAGGTTCAATGATGAAGTCAGGTTCAGTGGTTCGATAATCGATTATTGAATCAGGTTAGAAAGAGGTGTTCATCTTGACGGGTGTAGTTCTAGCCGAAATCTTTTTGACAGTAATGAAGATTTTGTTGGAGAAATTGTTTCAGAGAGGTTCTCTATGTTGAGACATAAATTTTGCAAAGTAGATTATGGAGAGGAGAATCAAGTTGTTAAAGATTAATGAAGAAGGTGGACAAATTTATTTTGTCAGAAATTCAGGCTAAGAGGGAGATTTGTTGTGTTTTATTTGTCATGATTTCTCTCCATAAATAGGTTTTCCTTTTAGGAAAAGGTTTTGGATTGACTAATCCTTTTTCTGGTAGGAAAAGGTTTAGGACTCTATAAATAAAGGAATATTCCTTCTAACTTAATCAACATTCACAATGTAGTCTTAAGGGCTTTGAGAGTTTTGGTTAGGGGGAGAATTTATGGGTCACAAGCTTGATACGTTATCACTTGTGTGAACCTCCCATGTATTCTGAGTGAATTGGTTGAGGTTGTTTCCCTCTGTATTTTGTACTCTCATATTTATAGTGGATTGCTCATCTCCTTTGTGGATGTAGGTTGACTGACTGAACCACGTTAAATCTTTGTGTCTTTTGGTATATATCTCGTTGTCTTCTTACTCGTGGTCTTTCGAGATTTGCTTTGCTAGCTTTCGCATTTACACCTGCTTATTTCCCGTCCTAACAGATTTACTTGGGGATCATTAAATGGTTCTTGAGTGCTAGTCATGTCTAGGGTGTACACTCGGGTCGTGACACAAGTCCAAAGAGTTCTTACGGACTTTTCAAAAGACTTTTACAAATGTTTTAACTTTGTTTTAAGACTTGAGTTTTTAGTTGAGTAAAGAGTAAGTATTAAAGTTCATTTCTTCAAAAAAGTATATCAGGACTACATATTCCGAAAAAAGAGTAAATTTTTTCACATTTAATCAATAAAGGAAACTTTGATTTTTAATAGAGCCTTTGAGCTAGTTTTTAGTAAGGATGTAAATGCTTTCATTTTTAAGCAAGAGAGGAAACTTTGATTTCCAAGAGAGCCTTTAAGCTAAGTTTTGAGCAATTATCTCAAACCACAGAAAGAGTTATGTTTTTAAACATATGAGGTACTATTATATTTTGGGAGTAGTATTGAGCATCGATAAGTAGAGAGTTCAGAAAATTCCAGCCCCCATAAACTATGTAACCATTATAGGTAAAAAAGACTCATACTTTTTAGAAGATCTCTTAGTGTTTTTTAGCATATACTAGTGGATCCAATTAGTAGTTAGGTTCTATACCCTTCGGTAAGGTATGAGACGATCCTGATAGTGTGAGAAAAAATATTGTATCATCACAATATCTTTTAAGTGATGGTTATCGACCAGAGAAATTCCCACAGAAGTATTATGTATTCTTATATACACAAAAGTAAATTGTATTATATATACACTCTATAGTTTATAATGTATCTTTGCATACATACATAGTTACTATTGTATTTCTAAATGCACAGAGTTGTTATACCTGTTTTAAAAGTTTTTCTCTATAGAACATTGCTTTATATTGAAATTAGTACAGTTCAATTAAGTTGAGTTGAGGCCGTGTTTGTTCTTTCACTTCTCTTTCCAGTTTATGTATTGTTTTATGATTCCCCTCATATGCTTGTATATTTGATGTATCGATGTCTTTTGGCCAGCATCGTGTTATGATGCAGATACAAGTAACCAGAATCACCATCCAGCGCATGGTTGATTCTAATTGAGCTTCAGAGTTTGTTAATGGTGAGCCTCTTTGCCTCCAGAGGATCCCCTTTTATTGTTTTTCAGTATTTTAGTTCATTACGATGTCGTAGGTCTTGTTCCAACATCCATATCAGTTGTTGGAGACTTCATAGACAATTAGTTAGTTCATTTGTCACTATCTTGTTACTGTCTTATGTTGAATCTTGAGTTGCCACTTTGGCTAAGTTGAATGTTATTTAATACATTCTAAGTTATCTACTGAGCCGTTCAATTTGCTTTATAAAGTATTTTATCATGAGTAAGTCTTCCGCTAAGAGTTAAGTCAGGCCAAGGATTCGTTTGGGGCCAACAATGCTTCTTGGGTGCCAGTTGATCTATTAGCTACCACTTTAATTGAACCCGAAGCTCGGGGAATAATAAATTATTATATTTTTTCTTAAAGAACACTCTTCCTTAATTTTCACAATAATATTTGCTTGTGAAATCTTTTTTCACATAGATTTTTTATTGTTATTGTATAAGATTTATTTTACACTATCTAGGAACTTTCATAAATGTTATCGTGATTCATTTATGCAATAGATCCTGATATGACACATCCTAATAATGAAAAAAGTATGGTGAAAATATTATTTGATTCATAATGAGTGTTGAAGAAAGAAATTCTCTTAAGAAGACAACTACTCAACAAATATGGTAAGAAAAGTGGAGAACAACAAAATGATGAAATGAAAAAGAATGAACGATAAATATTAGAGGAAGAACTGTCGAACTTCTTACTAGGATGTCTAAAAATAAGGCAAGAAGAATGAAAACTAGTCACTTTACAAAAGTCAATAAAGTGTGCTAAAGTTAGTAAGTACATTAAATATTTACCTATTCAAATTAAATTTAGATTTTTACTATAGTTAGTTCACTTATAATGCTTTTTTTCAGTATTTAACTAAAGTTAAAATTTTGTATTTGATTAACATTAGTGAACATGAAAAGTTTGAATTTTTTTATTGTCTTAATTCATTGAAACATATCTATTCAAATTTTTATATAAATTATATTTGATTTTGACTTTGACTTTGACTATAAATTTTTTTAAAAAAATTGTGCATAATTGGTATTCTTTTTAATTATCTTTATAATATCTAACCACAATTGGCAATGTTATAATGTGTTTTAAAATATTTACCTTTTTAGCTTAAAATGCCAGATTTCTTTGACTATTTTCAATCACACGTTTTGGTGATAAATTTATTGTATAGAAGTTTTTGATGTATATATAGTGCCTCTGTATTCTATTTCTCACAAGTGTCATTTCTTCTTCTTCTTTTTCAAGCAAAAAAAAAAGTCCTTAGATAAACTTTTATTTTATTCTTGTTCTTTAAAATTTTAGCAATGGATAGCAAGAAGACAAGAGTGAGACAAACATTTCCAATTTCAAAAATAGAAAATCAACGTGTTAGCGATGTAACATTTTTCAACCGTCGCTCTAGTCTATACAGAATGGCAAACGAACTTGTTGATTTCTGTGATGTTGATATTGGAATAGTACTATTTTCACCATCAAACCACCCTTTCTCCTTTTTTCACCCAACAAGTGAAGCAGTCATTGAACGTTTTTTGAATCCCGATTCACAACTAAGTGAGAAAACTCGCCTAGATGCGGAGCAAGCACGAAATAAGGTGAATCAACTCAACAATCGCCTAGATGCTATGGAGAAAAGGATTGAGCAAATAGAAGAAATTGAACATGCTCAAACTCTACTTCAACTTAGCCAAACGGAAGAAAATGGCGAAAGAAGTAAGTGGAAATCGATTGATCAATTAAATGCAAATGAAATACCAACATTTGAAGCATGGTTAAGAACCACCGTCTCTAAAATGAATTATCGTTTGGAGAAGTTGGAAAATGAGGCTTCATCATTGAAAAATGCACGTGGAACTTCATAAGTGATGTCACCCCAAGTTATTATCATTTCAAATTAATATTATTTTAGAATTTCGCAATATGCTTTATTTTATGTTTTGTTTTAGTTTGTTTCAGTAATGCTACAAGTATGTATTTTGTTATGATTTTCTATATTAATATATGTTTTTTTCTAAAAAATGCTTTAGTATACCTTTTCTCCTTTTGTATATTAGTTGTTTGTTGATTTAAAATATTAAAGAAAGGGTTGGACGAGAATAAAAGATGAAAATTATAGAAGTGAGATCATCTTTTTACCAAATCTTTTTACTAAAAGTGATAGGTTTTACCCACATATTTAATTAAATATAGGCTAAAGAGTATAGGGTCTTAAATAAATTATCACTTTAGCCCATAAACTATCGATTAATTAACTCAAGTTAAGCAAATATTCAAGAATTTCCAAAAATGACCTTCCGGGTCATTACATTATCCACCACTAAGAAACATGTTCGTCCTCGAACATAGAGTAAAAGTAATTACCTGAAGCTTCAAAAAGTTGAGGATATCTGGCACGCATGTCAGACTCAGTCTCCCAAGTTTTCCTCTCCCATTGATCGGTGCTTCCATTGCACCTTCACTAAAGCAATCTCTTTGGTCCTAAGCTTTCGAATTTGCCTATCCAAAATAGCTATAGGCTCCTCCTCAAATGCCAAGTCTGGACCCAACTCCACAGAGTCAAGTGAAAGCACATGAGATTCGTCCGGAATATACTTCCGAAGCATAGAGACATGAAAAACAGGATGTACTACTGACAAACTAGGTGGCAAGGCCAACTTATAGGCCACCTCTCCCACTCGGCTTAAAATCTCAAAAGGGCCAATGAATCTAGGACTAAGCTTGCCCTTCTTTCCGAACCTCATCACACCCTTCATGGGTGATACTCGGAGCCAAACATGATCACCCTCCATAAACACCAAGGCTCTAACTCTCTGGTCTGCATAACTCTTCTGTCGACTCTGAGCTGTCAATAATCTATACTGAATCATACGGACTTGCTCCATAGCATCTCTCAACAAGTCTGTATCCAAAGAGTCCATCTCCGCCGAATCAAACCAACCAATCGGAGACCTACATCGCCTTCCATACAACGCCTCAAATGGGGCCATCTGGATACTAGAGTGATAACTGTTATTATAAGCAAACTCCGTTAATGGTAAATGTGATCCCATCTAGCACCAAAATCGATCACACACGCTCGAAGCATATCTTCCAATACCTGAATGGTCCGCTCAGATTGACCATCTGTTTGAGGGTGAAATGCCGTACTCATATCTAACTGAGTACCCATACCATGTTGTAATGCCTTCCAGAAAAGAGAAGTAAATAATGAACCCCGATCTGATATGATAGAAATCGAAACTCCATGTAGTCGCACAATCTGACTGATATATAGCTCGGCTAACTTTTCTGCCGTATACTTCACCCGAACCGGGATGAAGTGGGCAGACTTGGTCAGCCTATCAACAACAACCCAAATAGAGTCATAACCACCCACTGTGGTAGGCAAACCCACAACAAAGTCCATAGTAATCCGCTCCCACTTCCAAGTAGGAATAGGCATCCTTTGAGATACACCCCCAGGCCGCTGGTGCTCACACTTGACCTGCTGGCAAGTCAAACACCTCAAAACAAAGTCTGTAATATCTCTCTTCATCTCACACCACCAGTAATGCTGACTCAGATCATGATACATTTTCGCCGCTCCCGGATGGATAGAATATCGAGAACAATGGGCCTCCTCAAGGATCAATCTAATCAAATCGCCCACCTGTCTTGGGCACACAAATCCTGCCTCCGATCCTCAAGACACCATTAGAATCAAGGACAGCCTCCTTAGATTCCCCTCTCAATACTTTGTCTCGAATGAGACATAATTTTTCATCATCAAACTAGTGTGCACAAATCTGCTCGACTAAAGAAGATCGAGCCTCAATAAAAGCAATCATCCCATCACTCTCCTCTGAGATCTGTAATCGGACAAGACTGTTAGCTAACAATTGAACATCTCTAGCCAATGGTCTCTCCTCAACACTAAGATATGCAAGACTCCCCATGCTATGAGTCTTTCTACTCAAAGCATCGGCCACAACATTGGCCTTCCCCAGATGATACTGAATGGTCACATCATAGTCCTTCAGCAACTCAAGCCATCTTCGTTGCCTCAAGTTCAAATCCCTCTGGCTAAAGATATACTGAAGACTCCGATGATCAGTGAAGATCTCACAATGCACTCCATACAAATAATGACGCCATAACTTAAGTACAAATACCACAGCCACCAACTCCAAATCATGAGTAAGGTAGTTCTTCTCATGGGATTTCAACTGCCTAGAAGCATAAGCAATCACTTTCCCCTTCTGCATCAACACACCACCCAAACCAACTCCTGAAGCATCACAATACACAGTAAAGTCTACACCCTCCTCAGGTAGAGTCAACACAGGAGCAGAAGTTAACAAAGTCTTGAGCTTTTGAAAGCTCTCCTCACACCACTGAAAACTCACATCATGTCGAGTCAATCTAGTCAATGGAGCTGCAATAGTAGAGAAACTCTGAACAAACCGTCGATAATAGCCTGCCAATCCCACAAAACTCCTAATCTCAGTAGGTGAAGTAGGTTGCGTCCAGCCTCAAACTGCCTCAATCTTGGCCGAATCTACTCTAATACCCTCCTTAGACACCACATGTCCTAAGAATGCCACAGAAGTAAGCCAAAACTCACACTTTGAGAACTTTGCATACAACTTCTCTTCTCTCAACCTCTGAAGTACAATTCTCAAGTGTCGGACATGGTCCTCCTTAGTCTTGGAGTAAACCAAGATGTCATCGATGAAAACAATCACAAAAGAATCAAGGTATGGTAGAAACACCCTATTCATCAACTCCATGAATGTTGCAGGGGCATTAGTCAATCCGAAGGACATCACTAGGAACTCATAATGCCCATACCGAGTTCGAAAAGTTGTCTTAGGGATATCTGATGCCCTAATCTTCAACTGATGATACCCAGACCTCAAATCAATCTTAGAGAACAATGATGCTCCCTGTAACTGATCAAATAAGTCATCAATACGCGGAAGAGGATACTTATTCTTCACTGTTACCTTGTTCAACTATCTGTAATCAATACACATTCTCATAGTCCCATCCTTCTTCTTCACAAATAATATAGGGGCACCCCAAGGTGATAAACTAGGGCGAATAAAACCCTTACTCAATAAATCTTGCAACTGATCCTTCAATTCTTTCAACTCTGATGGGCCCATACGATATGGAGGTATAGAAATAGGCTTAGTGCTCGGCTCCAAATCAATAGCAAAATCGATATCCCTATCAGGAGGAACACCTGGAAGATCTGAAGGAAATACATCGAGAAACTCCTGAACCACAGGAACAAAGTCCATGGAAGGTGGTTCAACACTAGTATCCCGAATAAACGCTGAGTAAGACAAACACCCCCTCTCCACCAATTTCTGAGCACGGATAAAAGAGATGACCTTGCTAGGATAAGAACCACTAGCACTCTTCCACTTAACCCTCGGAATACCAGGCATTGCTAAAGTCACAGTCTTAGCATTACAATCAAGGACAACATGATAAGGAGAAAGCCAATCCATACCCAAGATAACATCAAATTCTACCATCCCCAGAATGATTAAGTCTACCCAAGTGTCATACCCAGCCAATGAAATAAGACAGGATCGATATACTCGATCCACCACTAAGGGCTTACCCACGGGTGTAGAAACATGAATAGTTACAGTCATGCTATCACATATCATATCAAATTTAGCAGCAAAATACGTAGACACATAAGAGAATGTAGAAACTGGATCAAACAACAGAGACGCAGGTCGATGGCATACTGAGATGATACCTGTAATAACAGCATCGGAGGTCTCTGCCTCAGGTCTCCCGGGGAAAGCATAGCAGTGGCCTCCTCGTCCACCTCCATCCTGGGTGGTACCTCTACCTGACTGAACTCTGCCACGACCTCTACCCTGTGGTGCTGGTGGTCTAGTCTGGAATGAAGAATTAGGTCGAGGCCCACCACGACCCCTTTGAGAAGTACACTGCCGCATTAGATGATCGGGATCTCCATAAGTAAAACAAAATTTCTGACCTGGGAACTGCTGTGTGGACCCCGAAAACCCACTATAATTGCCTCGCCCTGTAGGTCGCTGTTGTGAACCGTACGAGCCCTGACCCGGGCCATAAGAACCCCTAGATGTCTGGCCAGCCTCAAATGTCGGCATAGATGCATGAATAGGTCCCCGCTGCTGAAAGAACCACTCACTCTCTGTGATCCCCTACCTCCAGATGAGGCACCCTGAAACTGACCTGATATACGAGCTCTTTTAGGGTCCCCAAACTCCTCTCTCTCCATCAATTCCACCTCTTTGGCGGCGCTCACAATGGACTGGAAAGAAGTCCCCTCCCTAGATGTCCGAAACACAGCTGACCTAATAGAGAAAGTCAATCCCCTCACAAATCTGCGGATCCTCTCTGTCTCATTTGGAATAATGGCCAATGCATGCCTAGACAACTGGCAAAAATGCGCCTCATACTCTGTAACCGATAAACCATCCTGTCTCAGAATCTCACACCTCAAGCGACTCTCCTCTCTCACGCTCCATGGGATAAAATGATCTTGGAATGCACTAGCAAACTGCTCCCAAGTCACTGGAGGAGATCCAACTGGAAAACATCCCGAATAAGTCCTCCACCAGTCTGTCGCTGGTCCACGAAGCTGGAGTGTAGCATATGGAACCCCATGTGACTCAGCTAATCCAACCACCTCCAGTAACTCTCGGCAGGTAGTTAGAAACTCATGAGCGTCCTCGCTTTTCCCACCCTGAAACTGAGTTGGGTCCATCTTTCGAAATCTCTCATACCTACGCTGCTCATCCTCTGTCAGAACAACCATCGATGCAACTTGACCCCCAACTGCTGTTGCAACATCATTCTGAACCGTGGGATC